TAAAACATATGTATGTTTGTGGATGCATATGATATATCCGGAAAGTTATACGAAAACTGGTAACAGTGGTTATCTCTGGGGAGAGCGACAGGAGGGAAGAGGGAGCAGCTCTGTGCTCTAAACCCTCTGTATTGCTTACATCTCCTTCTTTTTTTACTATAAACATGTATTATTTTTATAATTTTAAGAATCATAAAAAAATTTAAAATAAAGAAGGTATTGCCAACAGCACATAGATATGGCCTTTAACTTCTATTTCAGAGAGCTCTTGGAGACAAACTAAATAAGCCAATACTCAGATTTACAAAATAGACCCAATGTTTTTTCTTAGTACATCTAAGTTCTAATAACCTTGGGCCTTTACTGTTCTTGGTTTTGGATTTATGGTTTGATATTTATTCATTCATCCCATATTTATTGTGTGCCTATCGCGTACCAGGCAGTGGGACTGAAGCACGAGGTCGTGCGTCTTCTGCAATAGGAAAGTCATTTAAGCCAATCCCCGATGTGGTCCAGATGGGAGGAGGCTGAGGGCCAGAAGAGATGCCTGCAGAGGAATGTACCCATCCAGTGAACACTTCCTGGACAGCTTCTATGTGAATACCAGGAGGCTGGGGACCGTAAAATGAAAGCAGTACAATCCCTGCCCTCTCTTGAAAAGCTCCCACTTATGGTGGAGACAGAAACAAACAGAAAATCGAGTATTACAAACAGAATGTGGTTAAGTGTGGTGATGGGGTGATGCACAAGTACCGTGGGTGCACATGGGCCACTTAACCCAGCCTAGAAGGCCGGGGGGGGGACAGCTGGAGGAAGGGGAGGGGGTCCTAGCCCAGCCTGGATGCTTGAGTGGAGTTTGCCAAGCAGGAAGAGGGGGAGCAGGGGCTGGGGGGCAGGGCGTGTTCTTAGCAGAGCAGAGCAGGGCCAGGAGCAGAATCGCAAAAGGGCGGGTGGAGCTGTTCAGTCACACTCGTGCTAAGGCGTCTGGACTTTATCCAGAGTGTAAAAGGTGACACGATCTAAAATTTGTGCTTGATAAAGGTCACTCTGGCCACATCTGGAGACAGATTAGAGGAAGAAGAGGGAAGGATGAGGTAAAGAGACATTGTTTCCCAACTTGAGTCACATCTGCGGCACAACTCTGATGATTTGCACCATATCCGGGGACCACGTGTACTATTATTTACTTAATTATTTTTAAGTCAGCCCACTTTAAAAATATAATTTATTTAAACAAGATAGTGAAGAATAAAAAAGGACAGACTCCCTGGCTCCAGCGTGGTACCCAGGGCTAGAGGACAGAAACTGGAAATGGCAGAAGGGCATGATGGTGAGAAGCGTCTGTGGCTGCCGGTTTAGGTCCCAAGAGGCCTAGAGAACAGGGAGCAGGAAGTTGGTGGGAGTGGATGAGGGATCAGCTGGTACTGAATAAAGGCCCTAATGGCCTCCATGTTGCTAAATGCCCATCTTCCTTAACCTCCTGGCAGCATGTGACCTGGCTGACCACCCTTCCTCCTTGCTTCCTTTTCCTCCAGTGTTGGTCCCATTCTTTCCTCTCTCTGCCACTGAGATTCATCGCATCTCCAGGCTCTCAATACCATCTCTGTACTGATGATTCCCGGATGTCATTTCAAACCTGACTTCTCCCAGGACCCCAGGCTCATATCAAACCATCTGCTGATACATCTACTTGGATCTCTAATAAAAACCTTGAAATTAACATGACCAAAATGAAACCTCGACCTCCTCCAGACCTTCTCTGCCTGCAGTCTTCCCCATCTCAATGATGGCCAAGCATTCTTTTCAGTTTTCAGCTGAAAACCTTGTAGTCTTTGACTGTTTTTTCTCTCACACCCTATATCCGATTTTCAGGAAATCCTGTTGGTTTTACCTCCAGAATAGATCCAGAATTTGACCACTTCTCACCACTCCACCCTACCACCCTAAGCCAAGCGACTAGTATCTTTGGCCTGGTCTCCCTGCTCCCACATTTGTCCCCTACCACCCAACAGCCAGCTTATTTACTTTCAAACAGGAGTGAGGTCATGTCACTGCCCTATTCCAAACCTTCCAATGCTTCCTCATCTCACTCAGTAGATGCCAAAGACTGTACAAGGGCACCCAAGCCCCACAAGTAGTGTTCCCTGCCTCCATTACCTCCCTGAATGCATCTCCCTTGTCCTTCTGTCCTCCAGCCCTTCTGGGCTCCTGCAGTTCACCGAACGCACCGGCCGTCCCCACCTTCCCCAAGGCTGAGCCTCTGCCTTTATTTTGTCTACGGTCTGTTACCGAAAGAAGGATGCTGGAAGAAGGCAGGAAATTCCGTCCCCTCTTTCCACTGCAGTATCCCCAGCATCTAGAACAGTGCCTGGCATGGAATATTTGTTGAATGAAGGGCAGACCCTGGAGAAGGGAGCTCCGGCTCAGGAAGGACAACTGCGGCCAGGAATAAGTAGGGGCGGAAATGAATGGAAGTTGGCTGGTGAGAGGAGTGAGCCGGCTTTGGGGGGGCCGGGAGGGGCGGCAGACGGGGAGGAGAGCGCAGGGTGCCGGTGAAGTCGGGATGTGGTTCCCAGCGGGCTAAGACGTAGGCATAGATGGAAACTCGAGACTGGTGGGGTCGTCCAGAGGGGTGGGGCCCAGGAGAGGGGAGGGGCAGGCACTTGGGACGGAGGCGGCTCCCGCGAGGCTGGGGCGACCACGCCACGGGCACCCACGCTGGCCGCACCGGGGGCGGGGGAGACAACGGGTTAGGAGGCTGTGGCAGTCTTCCAGTGACTGTCACATAGTGGACAATCTGAAGTGGATGAACAGGGGGGGGTTCTAAAGCCGGAGAGTGTCGGTGGGCAAGACGAGCAGGGAGACATCTGAGCTTCCTCGGGCAAAAGCCAGAGCCTCGTAAGTGCACGCGGAATGAGAGGTGAGCGGGGGCACGAGGAGGGCGGGGCGCGCCGCAGACCCCAGGCGGGAAGGTGCCCTAGGCAGCCGAGCGGCGGACCGCGGGCACCGGTGAGGGGCACAGGCGCCGGGTGGGGAAGCTCCATCACTGGAGCAGCGCGTGGCTTGGGTGGGCGGGCGCGCGAGGAAGGAAGAGCGCCCAGCGCCCGGGAAGGCGGTGCCAGGGCACGGCCCGTCCCGCGGGTGGGCTGCCGAGGGCCGTGACCGTGGGGCAGAAGTGGGACGCAGCGCCTGGCCGCCCTGCCGTGGGAGCGCGGAAGACCGCCGAGGAGCTGCAGGTGCGCACTGGGAGCTTCGCGGCTTTGCCAGTCATGACAGGAGGGAGGCCGCGAGCGCCGGGCGCGCCACACGGACGCGGCCACGCAGAGCGCCGGACCCCCGCCCGCGCCGCTCGG